CACTACTGTCATGTCCCCCCTCTTCCTTCTCTTCATTAAACTAGACATGATAGGATTATAAATGGGATGGTGATAGACAAAAAAACTAGTATTAAATGATTTATCTTGGTCCTCCCCCAATTAAAATAAGAATTGACCCTTAGTCTTTTGCTGTAGGTTGGTTTATTTTACCTGAAAGAAAACTCCAGTGAGAAGAGTGAAGATAACTGTGAATAAACATGCATACATTTGCACTGTTTGTGAAAGACATTCACATATAATTTTATGAGATATAAAACAGGAAGGAAGAATTATTTTGTCTCCAAGTACACTTGATTGAATTGTGTTTGTCATTTCCAATCCAGACTCATTAGAAGGCAAATGCAGAACTTGGTTCGAGCTCTTTCTTTTTAATGCTGTCTATAGGCAAAGTGGCCAGCTCAGAGTCCCTGCCAGGCAAAGCACATTCCTGCTGACATTCTCCATGAACGACATTGTACAAATAAGGAAGCAAACAATCTCCAGTCACGCTGACTTCCAGTGCAGGAAAAGAGCAGGTGGGAGGGAAAAGAGGTGAAGAAAAATCTGTGCTTGCCAAAAAGGGGGAAGGAATGACTGGCAACGTAACTAGGGATTTTGAAACAAAAACAAGAGATGAAAAGAGATTCAAAAACCATATCAAAGCCCTCAAAAAGGTAACTTTACATCACAATTTACAATGGAGCACGAAACCCAGTTTCCTAAAAGTAAAGTATTGCTTGAGTTCAATTGATTCACTAAAGTTTTTTTTAAAAAAATATTATTATATGGCAGTTTTTTTTAATGTTGACTACATAAAAAAACCCTCTAATTTCCTTTCTCTACTTTCTGTCTATACTTCTTCATGCACATGCATAATTTAAATAATTGCATTTGAATGACAAAACAAGGGAGGAAATATACAGGAGGCGTATTAAAATCCATGTATATTAATAAAACCAAGTTTTGCATTTTCCTTCAGCAACCACAGAACTTGAAATGTCCTAATATTTTTAGCCAATAATACTGTATTTTTAACCTTGGAACTGAACTCAGGAGGATTATCTTTGAGTAGAATTTGTACAGAATTGCCTTGTGTAGATGCCTTTCTTGGTTAATCTTATGATCTGTGAAGTAACTTGGATTGCTTCCCTCAAAAACAACCTTTTGAGCAGGAAGGGTAGAGTTTCAGAAGGTCACTTCCTCTTGACTAAATTTCAGTCAAAGTAGCCTTTTGAAGTGCTTTTGTGAAACTGTCCCTAATGTCCAAACTTCACAGTAAAATAGCCACAGTACTTCCTCATGATTAACATGTGCATGCCATGTTATTATGCATGCCATAATACCCAAGTGGTATTATACAGTTTATTGCGTCCCTGCTCTTAGGATTTTTTTTTAACATCTAAGAAAAGCAAAACAACTAAATCAACTCTATCTTTCAATTTAGTAAATATAATTAAAGCATGATTTTTATACCATGTTCCATACAATCATAAGAACTTGATGGAATGCTGTGATACATCAAGAGTGAAAAAAGGCTGAAAGTTGTGCTATCTGCATCGAGCAGAAAGGAAAGTTCAGTAAATCACCTTGCAATTCAGTATACAATTCAGGAACCAGAACATGAATTCATATACTTTAGGCTTGTCATACTACAAGTAGTCCTTGAATTATAACCTTAACTGAGCCTCACAAGGTTGTAAATGGTGATGATCGTAAAGTGGATCATTATGTGTCTGGACTGGATTTTATTTTCCCTTTCTCACCATGGTCATTAAGCAAATGTGAAGTTGTAAAGCGAATGCAGTGGTTATTAAGTGAACCCATTATTTGCTGTGGGACAGTTTTTATCGGAAATTGGAAGTAAACATGCTTTCCAGCAAACCATTGTAAATATGTGGCTGTGAGGAACAGCAAACAAGGCATAAATGCTGGTTGCCAAGCACCCAAAATGTGTTTGTATAACCATGGATAATGGGGGGGGGAGGGAGAAGCTGGCATGAGAACTTTAAAACCGAGTATATTTTTGGGGTGTCTATTATAACTTTGAATTGCTGAGACTGGTTATAAGTTAAGGACTATCTGTATTGCTTTTGTTTAAAATGTACAGTTATGCTTTTATAACTTTGCATTATTTTTGTTTTTATATATAATCAATAAAACTAATATTTTTTTAGGAAAAAAAAATCATCAGCTCTGAGCTACATTTAGATGACCACTAGAGGGTAGCAAAATGTAAGCTATATATCTGTATTTTCTCCTTGCTGCATCTTATGGTCCTCAGTTTTTTGCAGTTCTGATAGCTCTAGTTTACTCAGATTGCACTCTTACCACCTAGGCCAGGGGTAGGCAACCTTGGCTCTTTTATGACTCGTGGACTTCAACTCCCAGAATTCCTGAGCCAGCCATGCTGAGGGGAAGGGAGAGGTTTCCAAGCTGAGCCATGCTGGCTCAGGAATTCTGGGAGTTGAAGTCCACGAGTCATAAAAGAGCCAAGGTTGCCTACCCCTGACCTAGGCCATATCCCCAGTATTGGCGGTTTGACAGTGCATCATATGGTTGCTTTGGAGAAGAGATGTTAAGGAAAGAATTAATTCATAAAAGAACATTGGTAGAATATATACTTGATTTTCAGCAATTGATTGCTGATTCACTTGTATGTTTGTCAACTTCTAAATAAGCTTTTTTTGACAGAGCAAGAAAAAAGATTTTTAACAATTCGGTAAAACGTTCCGAAGGCTTTGATTCAAATTTCCAACTATTGTTGCTTTCAAAATTTTAAATTTAAAGTCTTTATCACTATAACTAAATATAGGTCATATATCTTATTAGGCATCTGTGGCCTATTATTTAGTGTTAATAATATTATCATATTCATTTTATGATACTTTTACCATGATTACCAATATTTTATTAAAAACAAAGAAGTCATATTTTAATAAATACTACTTCTATTTATGACATCTTCCATTTGTGAGCTGTTTGTGAATGCTTCAGAATTTCTTCCAGAATAAGAATCTTAAGTCAGCCAAATATTCAATAGAGGTAGCCCTCATCTTACAGCAGTTCATTTAATGACTGTTCAAAGTTAGTGACTTATAACCAATTTTCACACTTACAACCATTGCAGCATCCCTTTGGTCACATGATTATAATTCAGACATTTGGCAATGGACTCGTATTTCTGGCAATTGCAGCATCCTGGATCATGTGACCTTTTGTGACCTTCTCTCAAGCAGAGTCAGCGGAGGAAGCCAGATTGTTAACAATCACGTTACTAAATTAACAACTGTAGTGAATCACTTAACTGTGGCAAGAAAAGTTGTAAAATGAGGCAAAATTCACTTAACAAATGTCTTGCTTAGCAACAGAAATTTTGGGCGAGAACTACCTGTACTGTAATGTGTCTAGAACTAGCAATCTTCCACATTTGGGATTTATATTGGGGGGAGCGATAGCCTGAACAATCCTCATCCAGCTTATCTCTGATCACATTTATATCTTCCTAATTGAAATCTTTCAACAGGGTACCTAAAACAATATTGGTGCCTGAAGTTAAATTGAACTAGATCACTTCAAGCATTACTGAAATTTATCTGCAACTCATCCTCCTTCCTTGCCCAAAAAGATTATTAGCTCCTTGGCAGTAATTTTCTAAGGAAAGCCCCTTTAAAGAATCTGCAAAACTCAGTGATTTAAATAGAAGCTTCTGCCTTGATCATTCTTGACCAGAGAGAAGATATAAATAGTTGCCGAGATTCCTCACTCCATATCCTATCAAGTTTGTTTTTCTGGATGGAATGTATTAAATGTATTTTTTTGAGTTACATGCATGTGTATGTGTATAACCACTGACATTCCCTTGTCTATAGATCTTATATGGGTAAGGAAAAGCTAAAGAAGCTGTCTCTGCATTCACACAAAACAGCTGTGTGCGTCAACAATACTCATAATAAGTTAACAACTGATGTGAACAATTTAATAGAAAGAACTTTTAACAAGGTTAGCTCTTCCTAAAAATCTGTGACTTTACTTACTTTATATAAGAACTAAAATTCTAAGTGCTTCCTATATAAAGGAAATAGTCCAATATATAGTTTTCTAGGAAGTAGTCCTCCTAATGCTCATTTATTTCTGTTTTTTGAAGAGCAAGAGAATAACTTCAATTCTTGAGAAAAGTTATATTGAGTAGGGTGTTTTTCACCAGAACATGTTTAAACAGAGTAACACACACTCTAGAAATTAGTTCAATGCAATCATGCCAGCTTTTGCAGTGTTTGAAAGGATGCAAGTTGTTTGTAATAAAAAATGCAATTGGTGGTCAACACCAAATACTTTTTTAAAACCAACTTTCATTAAGTAATTAAATCCATCAAAATTCTAGTAAAAGGAAGGCTGAATAGAAAAGGGCAGTGAATGAGATACCCTTCTAAATGGAACACCGTGATGTAAAAAATATTCACTTAAGCTCCATTATAGGACAGGCTATTTTATAAAGGACTGATCTGGCAAAATACAGCCTCAGCAGCTGCTCATTCACATAGTCTTGCAATTGTGAAAGCTCATTAAGATTCTTTGGAGCAGCTCCCTTTCCTTGCTAGGCTTTGCTATGCCTCATTAGACATTCAGGAACTAGCCCCTTCCTCCATGCATTGGTCCTAGCCAACAACATTTATGGTGGGTAAATTAACAAGTCCAACAACTGCTGCTCTTTTCTGGCCGAGATGCAGCTATTCTTGGAGAAATTATTTACTGCTAATCATGTTTCACTTTGCCTATGACAATTAAGAGATGGCTGTGGGAAACTGGATCAAATCTGAATGTAGTCTATTTGTTGCTCACCTGCTTCCATCCTTAAAAGTCAACAGGGACCCCACACAGCTACAATACCAGCCAGGGGAATGGAATAAAATTCTCCTGGGCTGCAGGTGGTTGAAGAACAAAGAAATGTCAAGAGCTGGCCATGTATTTCGAGTGACTGTTTTAAGCAACGCAAACACAGATTGAGAGTTAAATGTTTATTTGTGTCAAAAAGAGCATCAAACTCATTGCCAGTAATGAGTAAAACTCATTTCACGGTAATCCACAGTTCTTAATTTAAAAAGTACAAGATAATTTGAATTCCACTAATTAAGTGTCTCCCTGCATCCCAGAGAAAACGCAACCATTTCCAACAAAGCAATCCTGAATTAGCACAATTTATTTGTTCTGAAACACAGGCACACTTCTAGTAAATACATACTGATGTATTAGAGCCAATAGCTTTGATATGATAATTGCAACATTGATTCCAGATTCTTTTAAATATTAATTTATGCCAAAAATTCCTAAATTTGGTTTGGGACATATATTTTTTTTCAGTTTCAGTAATTATTAATTTTTATTTGTGTAATTTCAAATTATCAGATGGAAGTATTTAAATAACAGTTTATTTCTGGCACAACATTTAAAGAATGTTTAATTCAGATTAAGAGATTTAAGAAACAAGTCATGGAAATTATACTATCATATATCAAAGCCAATTAATTCATTAGCCATCTACCTAGGCAAATATAGTGTACTGCAACAAGCAAAATACTTTCTTTCTCATTACAAAACATCATTTCAAAATGACAATAATACATTGTTCCATCTTCTTTATACTATATATGTGATTTATCAAACTTTCATAATCTTTGGATAAAGGCTGTTTTATACTACTGAATTACTGAAACAGATTCAAAATTAGGAATATGTACTGCACCTGTTTTGAGACATACTCCAATTAATGCAGTTCGGAATATTTATAGGATGCTTGAAGAAGTTTAACAAGGTGATTCTTGCTTATTTTGCCAAACTAAGATGCACATTTAAAAGATGAGCTAATATCTATTATAAGGATGGATGTTTCAGCTACATGACTTAAGAAATTTTCTAGCTATTAACAACGTATTTGGAGAGGAATGATAAAAGTATATGTTGAATGATTAGCCTCCAGAATTACATTTGCAAAAGCCATTTATCACAAAGTTTGCTTTACACTATATTAAATGTTCTCAATATCTGTCTAAGAAAGAAGAAGCAAAGCTGCAGCATTTTCGATATTAGATACAAAGAAATAGTCTTTAACATTCTAATGATAACTTTCTAAGCTATGGGACGGGAGCTAATCTTCCATCAGAATTTTTTTTCCCAGCAATACTTTTTTTTTAGTTTTATAACTGGTTACATAAGATAAGTAAGAATACAGAAAATAAAGTTTTATTCAATAAGCTATTATTTCTGGTCAGGAGGAGAATGTTCTCAAAGACAGGTACAGGTAGAAAATAAATTCTACAATCATCTTTATGACTGAAACTAGTAAAGGAATGTATTATGTATTTTGGTTCTCAGGAAGTACACACATTGTTTACAGATGCCTTAATGACCGGCATCTTGTTTCTTCCACAAAAACCTCTATGATCAATAATAGAACTGGACCTTTTCTTCAGTGAGGTCAACATTATGGAGTTTTTCTTCTCAAGAAAGCCTTTTATAACAATGCCTTAATAATGTTAAAATAATGAAATAAAATAGCGAGAGCAATTCTCCATCAATTCTGTAGAGAGAGTTATTGTTCAATAGTCCCCCCCTTCCACTTCTTTTCTGACCATCCGGAGTGTTTGTCAACAACAAATTCATTGTGTTCCTGTAAGTCAAAGATCATTATTGCAATATAAAACTACCAAGCAACAAATGATTGGTTTGTTTGTATTTACGGTTTCAATATGGCACAACTTGCATTTCAAACCTGAAGCACCACATTCCAAACAGCTAACGGTTTTGTTTACTTCATTTCCACGTAGCAAATGTCAGATACAGCAGTTAATCTAGAAAAATACAGTTTAAAAAATCTTCTGCAGACCATGTATCCTGTAACAAAATCTTCTGAAATTATTTTATAAATCAATCTACATCATTAAGGGCAAAAGGAATCCTTAAGTTCAGCATTTTCATTACATCCAGTCATTGATCTATTCAAATATATGTTTCTGCAATATATAGATGTTAGAATTACATCCAGTCATCCATCTATTCAAATATAAGTTTCTGCAATATATAGATGTTAGAATTTGCAATATATTTATCTAATATAGCTCCTGGACATACTAAGCAACACCAGAGGTTCTGCTTGTAGTGCATTAAATATGTAAAGCAAGCAGACTCAGTACTTTTCCAGTACCATTTGCATTAGAATTATTGGCGTGCAGATGTTAGCATTGAAAAAGTGCACACAGTTTTCCAGATAACCCATTTTTCTGTAGGAATAGAATATCCACTGGAGGTACACGAAAATACCAGTTATTAATTTACACATTCAAAGTGTAGGAGTAAAAAGTATACAACAGTGTATACACATAATAATAAAAAATAAAACACCCAGTTAGATTTCAGTGTGTACTTACATCTAATTTCACTACCACAGGTTCATACAAGAATTCACTACAATATCAACCTTCAGTTAGATTTACTAAATATGATTAAATCTCAAATAACATATACATCTTGAAAAAATGCTGAAAACTCCAGTCCGTCATAGATATATCCTCCACTAGTTATATGCACCAATTCAGTGTCTGAAGCAATAAGAGTTAAAAACACCAGCTAAAATCTGAGCAAGTCCAGTAATATCAATGGCAATGCAAAATAAAATTGGTGTAGTGAAGGATTTACACAGATCGCTATTAGCACTTGTTTAATCTTTCAAATTAATACAGAAACCGGTAACTGAATAATAGGAATTCTCTTGTACATTTAATTTGTGAGCATGTACTGCACTGATTCACTAAAAAAAGCTCACAAAGATCTTCAAAGTCAGTTGATAAGAGTTTATTTTCTCCAAAATAAAATAAAATAAGTGGTAAGCCTAAGATTACAGAATTTTTGACTTATGACCACAATTGGTACAGAACTTCTGTCAGTAAGCAATGTGTGTAAGTATGTCATTATGTGACCATTCCCAGTTTTACAACTTTTTACCATAGTTGTTAAATGAATCACACAATAGTCAAGCAAATCCAACTCCCCCCACTAGCTTTTTTTTTGGGAGGGTTGCAAGTGGTGATCATGCGATCCTGGGACACTGCAACTGTCATAAATACATGCTGGTTTCCAAGTATCTAAACCACTGTGGGGACATTACAACAGTCATAAGTGCAAGGGCTGGTCATAAGTCACTTTTTCCAGCACTGTTATAAATTTGAGTGATCATTAAATAATGGTTATAAGTTGAGGACAACCTGTATTTAAAAATCAAGATTAAAATGCCATTCTAGATAATCCTGACTGAAATTAGCTGCTTCCGCAAAAGAAATCCAGTGTGTACATCTATATAAAATCTTCAGTTTAAGTGTCACTAGAATCATATAAACTTTATAATATCCATAACATTTATTGTAAAAAAAATTCAGTTAATAGTTTCCAAAACCCAGCAAAAATAAATCACACTCTTCTCCCTCCCCCCAAAAGTGCAATATCATCACAAGTTGCTGCTTGGTCCACAAATACATAATATAAACTGAGATGCTGTTTCTGTCAGAGCCAAGTTTTTGTCTTTCAAAGGCCAATCTGGCTTAACAAATTCAACGTCCAAAGACTGAGTTCAATTCCAGTAGGATTAATTCTACAATCTGGTTTTGATACACTGTGTGAACTGCTATATTACCAGTCTCTTTCTCAGGTTTTAATAAAGTTGGGCCAAAGACTATGGCTATACTTTGATAGGTCATTCGATTCTTCTCTCCGTTTTCTACAATTCTGAGAAAGACAGAAAAATAATTATTCAAACCTGTTAGCTTCATGTTATTATCAAACTAAATGTTCTGACACGTGCATGTATATCTTCCTCAAGGCATAATCCTGGGTCTTAGTACTACCTGAAAATAGTTCCCCATACTAACATTACCAGTCTATAGAGTGTTGCATAAGATGAATTCTAGATTCACAATTTCTCACTTTTGAGTAATGATGTGGCATTTATCAAGATACTGTAGTTCGTTGATATTATTTCCTTTTATAATGCTGGTTCTTTGCCGAAATTACATGTTTATGCTCTACTAGGTTTTAAAAGCTATGTTTGTACCATTTTCTGAAAAAAAAATAGTTTGAGGGGCTTAGATTGTGCAAGATGTCTTTGAGGCGAAATTATAAACATTATGAAATTATACTTTTTCCATTTGTTTATGTAAATATAGATTAAGTTACATTTCTTTTCTATGCATTTACTTACTTCCTGAGGTGTCTGAACAGCACCTGCATCGTATCGTGATTTGGCTTTGGCAACTGTTTAATCAGCTCTTTTACAGCTTGAACACGTTGCCGAGGCTCTTGTTCTAGAGACAGAAGAGACAAATTCTATGTACAATGCAGCTTTTCATGACTTAAGAGTACATTGGGAGGATATTAGCTAATACCTAGCAACATCTAGTGGCTAACATGAACATTGCTGACAATGTTGATCTATTGCAAGGATTCTACTACACTACAACATCCAGAAGGCTGATAAGATAAAACAAGCCGTAATCTATTTTATTGGGTTAATATATACAATACAGTAATATGGACATTAAGCTCCTTCTTCCATCTAGTGAGTATTTGGTTGTAATTCTATTTAACATAATTTCATAACTTTATCTCAATATGCAGATAAAAGAAATTACAATTAATAATTGGCTTCCTACTGAAGTAAAACTAGTGACTATTGCATGCAATGAGGGCACTGTTGTGAATTGCTGTGCAAGTTTTTCAGGATGAGCAGATTTTCAAACTAATACTTACTAATGGCATTGACAAAATCATTGAAATGGCTGTAAGTGAATAATGGTTCTGGCAATTCTCTAAAAAACATTTTCAAAGCCCCCGTAATGACATGGATATCTTCCCATTTGCTGTCATTCAAGTCCAGTTTTTCATCTGAAAGAAATGGATACAAAGCCACTAGCTATGTCATAATAAACTTTTGGTGCTGTTGTTTATACACATACAAGAATATTCAGATAAAAAGGCAATTTTAACAACTATCTCATCAAATCTAATTGCAAAAAAATAGACCTCTATGTCATATTAAAAATATGTGTTAAAACCTATTATGATAAGCACTTATAAAAGAGCTTAATTGCAAATAAATTTTATATGTAAGTACTTACCATGATTAACTGCAAATCTTAGCTTCTGTATTACTGCAAGATTACCACTAACTCTGTACAATCCATCAATACCCAATCCTATAAAAAAATTATTTTTTTTGTTTAGCCAACGTTCTTACAACTTACATTAGATCTTACATTATACATGCAATGAAAAGAGAAAGCAAAAAAATTAAAGTGAAAATTATAGGTAAAACAAGGAATTTAAAAAGTAGATTATGTCATTATACTCTGTTCTTATTCAGAGATTAACAGAAACGTTTCACCAATTTAGGAACTATTCTTTTCGGATCCACCTGGGAATGTGAATTTTACACCTAGTAGAAAACTAGATTTCTCATTCCTTTCACGCCTGAGATCCTCTGCCATAATCTGGAGAGAATACTGTTTCTACTTGGAATTTATCTCTCCTCAACCACACTATGCTGAAACTGGGAAACTGGAACAGATACTCTCACATGTCTGTCACCCAACATGAGGACAGACGGGCAAATCAACATAATATTGTTTCTTCACTGGATTAGTCAAAGTTCTTTCTTCAATAGATTATCTTCATCAGCATTTATCTCCAGTCAGAACTGGCAATATAGAAAGTGAGAAAGCACAATGAACATCAATCCTAGAAAAATAATACTAAAACAAAGTATACTAAGTAACATAAAAAAACAGAATGAAATCTTTCACATTCCTCTTTGGAGTCAGAATTTACTTTGGATTACACTGTCAAATATTAAAACAAAAGAACAAAAGTGGTCTATTTCCCTCAGCATAGCATTTCATTTTTATCAAACCAAGGATTGATTATTCATTCTACACTATTTTCAAACTTTTTCAAGCTTTTCCAGAAAACTGTTTTTCTAACTTTTTTTTACATAACAAGTTTCCAGTAATTAAAAGAAAACTTGGGGCTATTATTATATTTTCTTTAAAAAAAACTGCAATTCTATCTGTATCTTGGACATGTTTCATTTATGAATACTAAGACTTTTTTTAACAACAATAATTTTTAATCCTAAAAAACAATAAGTACTTTCTTCCTACCATGTTCTTCAACATGTTCAATGCACATCTTCACAAATTTTGGCACAGTGTTATTTTCTCTTTGACACAAACTGCTTAGATTGCAGCCAAATACCTGATCTGAAGAGCAGAAAAATAAAATTCATAGATGGATGAGATGAACTTCTTAGACTTATACAGAACAAAAACTGATATATGTAAGATCATGAACTTGGACATATAACATTTAACAATATCTCTGCTTTAACATTGAATTATTTTAGATCCAATAAACTCTTAGCAATTTTATGAGTTTTTTTTATCTCAAGAGGGTTCTGGGGGCTCAAGGCATGTATCAGATCTGGGGGGGGGAGTTCTCTCTCTCTCAGAGCAATGGCAATGTTCTGGATTTGTGAGAGATTTTGACTGCTCTCCTGCCATGGACAGATCACCCACTGGTAAGACTCCCTCCACAGGGAGCTTGGGCCTACTAGATCGGCCCACCCCAGGAGACTAATGGACCAGATTGGGTTACAGAGGGAAACAGAAGTTTTCCCAGAAAGCCTGCTACTCGGTCCGATTTAAGCCTTAGTGACTGCATGGAATAACAAAGCAGCAATGGCTTTAGATCGGATTGCGGGGAGCACCGGAAACCTTTCCGTATCAGGGTTTCTGATACTTCCCATGTTACAAGATGGAATTAAGGGGAGTTAAACAGTTGTTGCTGGTGAAACACAAGGAACGAAGATGATCAGATATGAGCTAGAGCCACTATGAAGGACTACCTCATGGTAATTAGGGTGGTGAAACAGAACTGTTTCTGCAGAGAAATAGTTATTGCTTCTGCCGATAAGTCGTCCAGTGGCCCTGTTCCAGTGACTCACTTACTCCTTGGAGAAAGCAATGCCAAAATCTATCTAAGGGTAGCTGTGAAGAATATGCTACACAACTGGCAGATAAAAGTGGTGACATTTGCTCTACATTAGACTCCAGATTTAGAGCAGAGTATAGAAATGGTGGGGGCTACATCTTGCAAGATGGTGTTGGAAGATTTTGAGCCCAATGAACCCGAGGGAATGGACAAGGCTCTCTCAGCTGCTAGGTTGGCCATGTGTGTTAGATCTGTTCCCCTCTTGGCTTATTAAGGTCTCACAGGAGACAACACGTAAGTGAATCTGAGCAATAGTTAATTCCTTCTTGAGAAAGGGAATGGTCCTGCCAGTTCTTAAAGAGGAAGTGGTGCACTCCCTTCTCAAAGTACCAACTCAGCCTGGACAGTTTCTGTCTGGTCTTAAACCTTTCCTTTTTAGGGAAGGTGGTGGAAAGAGTGTTCACATGGCAGTTTCAGAGAACTCTGAATGAAACAGATTTCTACACCCCTTTCAGTCTGGGTTCAGTTTTGGGACTGAGACATCATTGATCATGATCATGGATGACCTCCAGTTTAAGTATAATGGAGGTAGATGCATCCATCCTGGCTTTTCTTGACTCCTCAGCAGCATTCAATTCCATCGATCGTGGTACTCTTCTGGGCCAGCTCCGGGAACTGCATTATGATGCTTGTCCTCCTTTCTCCAGAGCTGGTTCCAATTGTTGATGGAGAGAGATCTAGCCTGCAGGCCCTACTTTGTTCAGTACCTTAGAGCAGGGGTCCCCACTACCAGTCTGTGGCCTACTTGCAATCAGGCCGAGTGAGTGGCTGGCTTGTGTGCACATCCCACTCACATGAGCGTTGCAGGAGCTCAGGGCCCCATTCGCATGAGCGTCGTGAGCATTCGCGGCCCAACTCACACAAGCGTCACAGGGGTTATGGCCCCATCTGTGCGAGTGTCACAGGGGTTATGGCCTCACTTGCGCGAGCATCATAGGCGCTCGTGGCCCCACTCGCACAAGTGTCGCAGGGTCTCAAGGCCCCTCTGGCACAAGTGTCATGGACACTTGTGAGCCCATTCACACGAGCATCACACGCACTCTTGGCCTCACTTGCACGAGCACTCTCAGCCTCACTTGCAGGAGCAATGGATGCTCATGCGACCATCTGACCCAGGCCACCAACCTGGAAAGATTAGGGAATTCTGCCTTAGGGCTCTATTGTCTATTGCCTCCTATTTAACATTTACATAAGGCCACAGCATGAGGTGATCATTGGTTTGGAGTGAGATATCATTACCATGCAGATGACACCCAGTTTCATATCTTTACCCCAGGCTTCTTCAGTAACTCCATGGATGTCATATCCCAATGTTTGGAGGCTCTTGGACATTGGATGGGGCAAAATGGGCTCCAACACAACTTCAGCAAGATGGAGTGGCTGTGGATAATTGGACCCTTGGTTCTGGATGGGGTTGCACTGCCCCAAACAGACCCAATGCACAATCTGGGAGTCCTCCTGGACTTGCAACTCCTGCTCAAAGAGCTGGTGGCAGCCGTGGCTAGGAGGCCCTTTGTATACCTTCAAGTGGTGTGGCAATTGCGCCTGTATCTGGATCGAGAGGCCCTGCTCACAATAATTCACACTTTTGTAATTTCCAAGTTAGACTATTGTAACACGCTCTATTGTAACACTGTCCTTGAAGACCATTCAGAACTCAACTGATGAAGAATGCAGCCACACAGGTAGTAAATGATATCAGATATATGGCATACATAACACCATTCCTGCATGAACTGCACTGGTTACTGGTGTGTTTCCAAGTGTCATTCAAGGTGCTGGGGGGGGGGTACGGATAAAGCCCTACCTGGCTTGAGACTGGGATACCTGAAGGATCACCTTTTTTCAAAAGTCTCTACCCATCCAATTATGTCAAGCAGAATGGGCGTGCTACAGATCTCATCAGCCAAAGAATGTCAGTTGGCGGACATCAGAAAATGAGGGTGCTATATGGAACACCCTCACTTTGAGGTTCAGAATGGCCCCAATCCTGTTAGCCTTTCATAAGGCCCTAAAAACCTGACTACATTCCTGAACCTGGAGCATTGAATGCACCAAGGGCCCCATTTTCTGACTATATTGCTAATTGGTCAAATAATTTGCTCTTATATATATTTATTTATTAAATTCATTGGTCACCCATCTCACTATAAGGCGAATTAGACGTTTTAAATGTTTTTGTTGTTTTAAAATTGTTTTTCAAATTTTTAATTGCAATATATTTCTTGGATTGTAACTTGCCCAGAGTCGCTGACTGAGATGGGCAGCCATAGGAATTGGACAAATAAATAAATAAATAAATATGTGCTGAGGAGTTAACTTTCAGAGGGCACATCTGCCCAATACCCATACCCTCACACATACATACCCAGAAAACACTTCTCTGTACATTTTGTACGTGGAAGAGCTGTAATAGATATTGTAAAATTAATGCTGTACTCTACGCTTGTAGCTTTCTTACTTATTTATTTAATTATGGATCATTCTCCTTAATCCCATTTTGAGGGACAGACATTCCATTCTGGCTCTTTAGTTCATTTCATTTCAGCAGATAGAAACATCTGAACTTAAAGATGCCAATGGAACAGTATAGATCTCTTTTTACTGTATTTTTAAAAGAATTAATTTTATAACAGTTTTATGTTCTAAGTAGATCTTAATGATCTACTCTTTTTCAAACAGGCCCTTCTATTTTCCTGATGAAAAGTAGAAACTAGATGCCTCAAAAATATTGTTTCCAAAAGGCAACCAGGCTTTCTTGGTGTCTTCTTTGAAAATGTTTCGCTTCTCATTCAGAAGCTTCTTGGATGAGAAGCAAAACATTTTCAAAAAAAAAAAAAAAACACCAAGAAAGTCTGGTTGCCTTTGGAATAAAATACCTTTGGGACAACTGTGACATGGTTAATTGAGAATCTCTAAAGACATTTAGAAAGTAGATGGATAATCTACGAAACACCTGAATTTTGATCAAGTTTGATACCTGCAATAAAAAGCTTCCAAAGTGATAATTAAGGAAATAACTGACCCAACAAAACTAATTTTGTAGTGTTGTTTTACCCACAAATCCTAAAATTCAACATTCTTAACTTTCCCCATACCACAAAAATATAAAGGACTGATTTTTTTTTTACAAGGAACAGATTACCATAATTTCCAATGGCAGATCTAATTTAATGTTGCATACTAGTAATAGTAATAGTAGTAAAGTTGGAAGGGACCTTGGAGGTCATCTAGTCCAACCCCCTGCTCGGGCAGGAAACCCTACACCATTTCGGACAAATGGCTGTCCAGTCTCTTCTTAAAAACTTCCAGTGTTGAGATCTATTTTTTTATTTCTCTTTGACAAATGTAATTCTTAGATAGGAAAGATTATTTTAAGTTTAATAGAAGCCTCTTGTTTGTTCTTTTGTGTAATATAATATATATAAAATCAGCTTTTAACAGATATACTAAAATTGTGACTATGTTTCCTGCTATTTGTAGTAGCAGAAGCCTTCAATATGTGCAACTTTGAAGGCACAATGTCTTTGCCATTTCCTAAGGAAATGACTATTTCCTCATTCCCAAGGAATCAGCATGAATCACGATTTTCGAATTTTCTTGATTAACAAATTAAAAAGCCTTACCCTTAATGTAGCCCTTTTCACGGACTGCTTGTAAGGTAGGTCTGCGGATCAAAAACTTCTTCAATTTCGTTTTAGTCTTCTTTTGTTCTGAAGAATCAATACTGCTAGATATTTTTAGTGCTGAAAGACAAGAACAATATTTTGAATAACATTCGACAATCACCAAACTAAATATTTTCTAATTTATAAAACAAGTTAATAATGAATTCCTAAGGGACAAAATAGAATAATCACTTGGAAGATGTTTATGGGAAAATATTGAAATGCAACATAATGATTAACAGAAGTACAATACAGGCTTGACTTTTATATAACCTTTTTTAAATTTCTATTTATATTAACAATTATTTTCTTTGCATAACAATTCAAGCACCATGTGGCTCTCTCCCTAAGATGTGTTATTTATAGAAACATAAAAAGCAAGTCTTTTAAAAGATATGTTTATATTCTGTCAGAAGGACTTATGATCAACCTCTATTCAACACACATAACACCACTGGGACAGGCCTTCCATTGGCATGTGGTGAGGACGGAAGAGGAATGATCCTGTTATGAACTGCCATGTGACCAATCAGGTGATGAAGAGAAAGTTCTATCCTGATATCCAGAGACTGTTAGGATCTAAGAAGAAACAGACTTAGGCTGAACCCAACAAGATGGTGTAGCTAGCTTTTAAAAGCTGACTGATGCTGAAGAAAGTCGGGCCTCTTTCTCTGGATGGACCACAGCTTCTGCAGACAGGGCTGGTTCACTCATGTGAGCCTCTGCACAATTACATATTCTGTATCAATTTCACCACTCCTGGAATGAGGAACACTTTGCTGGTTATCATTCATGCCCTTGACATGTGACTGAGCCTACATGCCCCAAAGGACCAACTGGAAGTGATAGCTAGTTCAAATGCATTATGGAAATGATTTGTGGCATTGTGACCTGCCTAGATTTACTATAATGGGAGCTGCACTGATTGTTGTTAGCTCCCAGTTTCAACCGAAGATATTTTTCAAGCCCCATATGGCTTAGAGACTAGGATGATCTGCTCCAAGATGATCTTATCTAGGTGGAATACACCTGTTTAGTATGACTAGAAAGAGAAACAAATGAATATTTCCACTTTTGAAAGTGTGGTCAATTAGAGACTCCATACGCGAATCTTCTGAGTGATGACCACTCCATTTGAAAAACGTTTTCCCATAAGATGAGAGCTTTTAGTAATCAGACAGAAAAATGATTCTGTTTCCAAGGATGACGGCACTATTAATAATTGACTTTATAATTTATTTTATTACTTTTGGTTCTGAACCTTTTTAATGTTATTTTGGGAAGAGGAACCTAATTAATAGAAAGGCACAGAATCCTGAATGCAATAATGAGTAAGTAAATAAAAGGACTAATTTTTCTACTTCCCTCTATATTTAATTGTAACGTATACTGTCACCATTCCAACCTAATGTTCTCTAGTCATAAACTTGTTTTACAAGAATGGAATTCAAGACTACCCAGGCATAAAAACCTGAGCTTCCCCAGATATAATTATTTTGGAAGTCCAGTATCGAATCTATTTTTGCTATACGTTTCTCAATTATATATTAATCTTTGGCTTCATCCTATAAAGCTTTGCAGGAACATATACAAAAGTAATTCAGGTTCTTTGCCATTAGGGGATACATTGCTGCCAGTAAAAACTGACTTTATACTTGTGTTGAAAAAGGCTTATTTCTAAATATAACAATGTTGCCCACTCTGGGTAAAAGAGAAGCATTGGTATTTGGTCTCTACACTTTCAGTTTTTCAAAGAAAATATTTATTAAGGGGGAAAAAACTCATTACATTAATTTCAAACCTTATAGTATATGATGATGATAATAATACTTCTTGAACTTCTAATTAGTTGAAACAAGCACAGAGTGATTAGACAAGCTGCAATATTATTTCAAGTGTTAATAACTGAAATTTATCATATAAAATCTGACCAAAAGGAGACTTGGATATTTCTTTGCTGCAATAATCTTTAAAAAGTGTCTAAATTTTTATGTGTTCGAGAGAGAAAATATTTTTAATGGTGATAATGAACTAGAACAGCGGTTCTCAACCTATGGGTCGCGACCCCATTTGGGGTCGATCGACCATTTTACGGGGGTTGCGAAACAACGCGATCCGCCATTTTTTTCCCCCAGGGGGTGGCGCCGCGCATGCGCGGTGCGTCCGTGTGACGGGGGTCGCCGTCACACGAAGATTGAGAACCGCTGAACTAGAAGCCTATGCATTTAACTATGGAATTAAAACTTACAGCGAAGTTTTTTAGAATCTTTATGGTCCTTTTCTTTGTCTTGTTTTTCCATTCCAGGAGAATCTGGCATTTCATCATCCAGTGCTTCTTCAGACTCTACTGTCTAGTGTAATTCCACAACAACAATTAATAAGTTTTCTTCCTACAGAATTATTTTACAAAATATGTTTTATAAAGTGTATTTCTTCAAACATGATTTCAAAGTAGTACATCATTGAAATTGATGTTGAATTTGATAACAACAGTTTATATAATGCAAAAGTCACCAATTTGAGAACAGAGATCTGAGAAAAATTATCAATTTGGTTGCCAAGAGTCAACACTGAATTAATGATAATATAATTAATATTATATATCAATATAATTTAAGATTTCTTTCAGATCTTTTTAAAGTGCAAACTTTATTTTCCTTGATTTCATAGGCAAAAATAAAATAAAGTTATAGAAGGATAAAAGGCTAATAAATAAGCTACCTAAAATAAATCCTTCCAAATTTAAAAAACTCATGTGGCCATGAATGACTTCATTATTAAAGGAGCTTGCCTAACACCTTATGTCTTACAATATCACATACAATATAACAACAGAAGCAAAATGCAACTTTTAGTGCTTTCATAGTACAGCAGAAGTCTACCCACTTCTTCTAGTGAATGCTTTATTACAACCATTTGCATATAATGAGTATTCTGGCCCTAATTTTCATCTATCAAAAAGTTTAAATCTGCACAGGTCTTCAATCCTTTTCAAAGAACTAGAAATTCTCTGCTCCTAATTCTTCCCCTATCATTCAATTAATATAGCAAAAAGCATTCCCAAAAGCCAATGCAATATAGATACAACTGCTCTGTAGGATTTATTTGGATCTTAAATTGAGATTTTCTAAATATATATTGCACTTTGGTTTTTGCTAAATCATCACTGGACACCCCTGATCTATAATGTATGTTTTTTATTCAAAATGGGTGTAATTTTCATTTACCATGCATAAATGTTTTTACCTTTTTCTTATTTGAATGTTCAAGAGCAGAGGGTGATAAAGTTCTATATTTTGGTTCAAAGTAATGCTTTACATTGATTCAAGTATTAGGCTATAATTCTGGATGAAAAAAAAGTTTACATTTAAGAATTTACCTGATTACTGATAGCATATTCAAGAACTCTAAACCATTCCATAATAGATATGTCATTGTCTGATTGAATTAACAGTTCAGTTCCCTGCCGTGTTTTCATCTTTAAAATAAAAGAAATCATGACATTAGAATCAGGATTCATATTTTGTGTGTTCCCAAAAATATCCTGTTACCACAAAAACAACTTATTTAATACATTCTGAAATAATCCCAACTTGCTTTTTGCTTCTATACATTCTTGTATAATTTACAACAATAATGGCTGGCTCAGGATCTCTCTTTCCTACAAAGTTTACCTCGATCACATTTTTCTTGCTCGACTTCTCCTTTAAAGCCCAGTCAATAGATGCACCTTTGAGATCCACTGTGAACTCTGGTTTAGACTGATTGACCCCAAACTTCTGAAATATTATCAAAAATGCATTAAGGACATAGATATAAGTGCTATTAGAAAAGAGTCTTCGCAATATATTTAAAAGACTGTTTTATGATCATAAAATAAATAGGATGTCGCCATTACATGTAGTCTTTGACTTATAACTGTGATTAAGCCTAGAATTACGGCCATAACTCATGCTGGTTATTAAGCAGATCACCAAGTGACTGTGACCTATTTTACCACATTTTTTTCTGTGTTTGTTAAACAAATATTGCCATTATTAAACTAGTACCAGCAAATACAGTGATCATTAAGCAAATCCATTGTACCTAAGTAGTCCTGAGAAGATCCTTTGTAATTTTGAACAGTCATAAATCAAGGACTTGTACTTAAAATAACTCGTTTGTTAAGTTTCCAATTTTAATGTGAGTGCACTATTCTCCTTTTCCTCTTCCCAGTTCTTCCTTTTCTTTATCTTAAAATCTATAATATGGTTGTAGAATAATAATTTTTTTTCTACTTTCTCAAAAATCAGTAATCTTATTGCCACTGAAATATATCAAAATGCAGGAATCAAGATTTCTGGAAAGGATATCAGTATTAAATAGATTACTAGAGATATGATTACTAGGTGAAAACGGCAATTGCCTTAAAACAAAACATTTTGAAATATACAAAATTGTCCAATGATACATAAAAGGAAAATTAGTTTATCTATACTAAGCCTTATTAAATATACTGGAAGTCTCAGTGACACTATAATCAATGACTGTGCTGACATTTTAAATTAAATTATATTTATTGTAGTGATTTTGGATATATAACTGAAAATGGGCAAGGAAGCTGGCTGAGAAACAGGTTAAGTGGAAAACTCTTTCACACATATTTTCAAAAGAAGCTTGTATGATGCTTTCAAAAGGAAATCTTGTACTAACAATATTACATCAGAACAGCCTACAGGAAACATCAACTTAGAACATTATCTTGTTAAAATTCTTGTATCAGCTAAAAAAACTCTGTAACGCTATCAATTATCCAGTTCAAAATGTGAGACAAAATACCAGACAAAGAACTTTTTTTATTTTGCCTTAATCAAAATTGGAAGTTGGATAGTAAACATGATTTAAGAGAGTCATTAGATCACCTCTGAGTTCCACTGATTTAAATGCCTTGGTAATTTGAACTAAAAAATGGCTTCTCCTTTAATGAGATAATTTACATTCAATTAGCTTCTAAACTGATAAAGGAACAGTTATTTCCATGACTGCAAATATTTTTTAACCCATGAGTGTCACTAGCATTAATGCAGTTTATCCCAACTCATGTGAGTCATATAATGTAACTACATATAATTGTACTAACAGCCTGAAGGAGAAAAAGTTATTTGCAAAATACATTTTTAGAAAACCTGACAATCTTTTAGTACTTACCCAACCAGTTCCACTTCCTTGGGTCTTGGTAAACAGTAATGAGGAACCTTGCAATACTGCCCAAGATGACATCCAATTCTTTCTGTAAAGGAGGTAAATATTTGTACAGTCAAGAATATAATGCTAACATTAACCAATGATAACTCAGCAAACAGTATTAGTCAGCATACATCTTACTTAGTAGACACTTGTACAAATCATAAAAATATGAAGGTTACAGAAAAATATTTATACATTTTTTTAGACAAACTCATCACGAGCTCTTACAGAATATATTGAGCAAATGTATAGTATTACTTTCACATATATAACTTAGTCTATAGTCCAAACAGATGTAAACAAAATGGTTTAGTATCTATGAATTTCACAATGAAAAAAAATTGTGGTAAGATAGTATGAAATGGAATCTAATGAAAATTAAGCTAATATTACATTTAAGGCTTGAGACTTAAAAATCATGCTTCTTAGAATGATTTAGATTGTAAAATTTTAATTCACTACTTAATTTCCACTGGAATCAATGGGAATTGCTTTGATAAAGATGTGCTAATAATATTCTGTCACAGTGACTATTTCATACATTAGTGTGACACATGAAAAAATCAAAACTATCACTTGAAAGGAATTCCTATAAAGTATTTAATATGTATCCTGAAGTAGATTAGTAAATTTTTATTAATATTCAATACTCAATAATACTCTATTTTTGATACTAAAAAAACGAAGACTTCAAAACTTATAAACACTACAGTAATACTTGCCGGACTTTTTTTCCATTTTCTGTAATTTTAGTTACATTTAATAATCCATACTTTTCTTGATCCTAAGAAGAAAAAGAAATTTAGTAAAGATTTCTGTTTTCTTAAAGAGGAAATGAGTTATTTCATTTTATATGTAATTTCCAGAAGGGAAAAAGATTTGATTGCAAACAGAACTCCCTGAATTTTATCTAACTTTACAATCTCAATATACATTTATTTAAAAGCACATTCCATAATGTTCTGTGTGGATTACCCATAGTAAACTCTGGGCAGAGTAATCCCACCTTATATCTAGTGGTATAATCTAAAAAAATATTGCCAGAGGGAAAGCCCTCCCTTCCCTTTCAGAATTCTATGATTACTGCTAGCAATAGAATCTCTCAACTATACCATCTTTAAGTTACATAAGGATTTGTTTCCTCAATTAATTTCAAGGGGTGATCAACTCTGTGTTTTCAATGTTCCAATTGAAAATAAAAAAAACTCAGTGTCCACCAGATGTGCCAGATTATATTAAAAGATACTATGGATCTACATGATCCTCAGTTTGCTAACTCCTGGTTGTGCATTGGCTAATCTGAGTTGGCATATAATTGGCACATAGTTGGCACAGATTAATTTCCAACTATTGACTTAGTAAGCAGGCACAGATTTGAATGTCTCAAACTCTTAACATGAATTTGGAGACATATTCTGTTAAAATTCTGAGAAATTAATAATTTATAACATACATTAACAAATGTATCCCAATACGCATACATTTGTAAAATTATAGAGAGAGACAGAAAGAGAGGTTAACAGTCTCAAACGTTTGTATTTGTACTGACTGTGGTTTGATGCCTTGGTGAGGAAGGAGAGGATCCATTCTCAGGAAAAACAATCTTTGCAGGAAAAGGAAAATCCTAAAAAAGAAAAATGAATTTAATTGTTTATATAAGGGAAATTAAACAAGCTCAAAGAGTATGGACTTTTAAATGGATAGAAAAGATAGGAATACTAAAACAGTGGAATTTAAGATTTTTATTCTACTGATTAGCTTATTTCTATAATTTATTTTTGGAAGAGCTCAGGTTTAGTTATCTACTAAAATGATCCATAAATAAATAATATTTCAAATATTATTCAAATAATGTGCTCCTAATGTTTTGGGAATGAACAATTCAGAAGTATTAATTGAGAAATATATAATACAAGAACTAGTTTTAGAAGCTACATTACTATAATTTATGTCTAAATGACTTGCATCCTTTACAGAAGAGTTGACTTTTTAAAATTAAATATGACTTACATGTTCTAGGTCTGTGCAATGCTTAAGATACAATCTCAAAGAGGTGCTTCAAGCACAAAGAGCATTTGTATGCAACACCTTTAGTCAGCTATCCCCTTTCCTGGGATGGGACTGCGGTCCTAGGAAAAGGACAGCTGCTTGACGGGGTTGCAAGTAGATACTATAACACGCTTGCATGCCAAAGCACCTTTTTAAGATTGCAACCACTTTTACATATTGGAACCGAGGTGCTGCACAGCCCTAGCATTCCAATCATCATATGTTATTAATGATCAATAAAAACATAATTATTTACAAATAAATATAATACTGTTGCATATATACATTTGTAACTTGTCTTTCATCTAAGAAACTCAGAAAGATGTACATAAATCTCTTTAATTTTCATCTTTACAACTACTCTATGAAGTAGGTTGGATTGGACAACAGTAATAAATCTGAAGTCACCCAGTGAATTTCATAGTTCATTAAGGGCCTGAACCTAGTCCACATTTAAAACTAGCAACAGCCATTATGATGTTCTGGTTATGTTCTTGCTTCCATTGATACAGCTTGCTATTGTGTAACTCTTGGTATTCTTTAATTCCTTGGTATTGTGTATTCTTTATCTTGTCTACTATACCCTGTTACCTTTTGCTGGTTAGGATCTATTTTAACATTGGAAACAGGATTCCTCAAATACCTACTGATTTCAGAGAGATAAAGCCAAAAAACCAACCATCAGGGATCCATTTGAGATAACACCATAATTCTAAACTCTGAAAACTAAGGTCTTAATTCACATATATTCTCAGCAACAACCTTTTAAAAATTATTTGGAGAAAACAAATACAGCTTTTTATATATTTTAGTTAGTAGGTTCTATATCTCAATTTAATGCAAGTTATTTCCCAAAAGTAGAAAAATATTTGAAATAAAGAGATTATATTGCATGCAGGTATTAAGCATATGGTATTAGTCTTTATGGAAATCAGTGTGATTATGTAGTAAGTAGAAGGCTAATGGTTATTTAAAATATACCTACCTTGTCATTTGTGTCCAGCACAACACAACTATGTCTCCATTTTGTTAAAACTACTGGTTCCTGAAGTCTCCTCTCCAAACTTCTGCTTTTAACTATTTCTTTTTGCTGTTGTAATGAAGCATTATACTAATGAAAATAAAACACACATGTAAATGTAATTAAACCTGGGCTGGTAACAAAATATATACAATCCACTAGGAAGAATTTTAATAGTGTTTTCACTAACTTCAAGCCGAATATGTATATACCTGTCTTCTGAAGAACTGGGGGGAAAATCTAGCATCTTCGAGCTTTGTTACATTCAACAGTATTTATTCTTTTAAAAGTCATTTAAATTAATCCAACAACCCTGCAGGACACTAAAATTAATATTTTTGTCACTCATCCTACATATCAGGCCTTTGGCATACATATCTCATTACATAAGAATAGTATTTACAACTGCGTCCAGCCAGAAAGAATCTATATTAATTCAACCTATATAATATCTTACTTGTTTTGTTATTCATATCCCAAGAGGGAAACAAGAGGCCAATTAAATAAAGACATCTATTTTCAATCAAAATGAAGAACTGCCATTTCTTTTTCATAACTTATGTTGTTTTGCATCAGTTGTTTTATAACAGTGATGGCGAACCTTTTAGAGACCTAGTGCCCAAAAACTGGCCCTGCCCCTGCTCCACCCGCTGCCCCGCCCCCACTCCACCCCACCCTGCCTGCCCGCAGGGCTATTCACCGCCTCCAGGGCCTGTCGTAGATCACCCAGGCATCCCAGTAGCACCACGGCGGCCATGCCCTCTGCCCACGCCCTGCAGCATCAACTGTGCGGGTTGGGGCATGAAGGCAGAGGCTTGTCCACGCTGTCAGGCTGCCATGTCCTTGGCTGCGCTGCTCTGCGTGGGCCACGCTCAGGGGCAACTCCTCCAGGGAGGCTGCTGGTGAAGAGGGGGTCGCAAGCGGAGGCAAGTCTGGGGCAACGGCATGTGTGCCCACAGAGAGGGCTCCAAGTGCCGCCTCTGGCACCCGTGCCATAGGTTCACTACCACTGTTTTATAATTTGCATACTCTCCTTACATTCACAATAACAGAAAAACATGGAATCAGCAACAATATACAAGTTGTTCTCACAACTGTAATTGGGATTGGCAACTCTGTCATTAAACAATGTGGTCACAAAGTAAAATGTCATATGATCGCACTAACTTACAATGTCAGTTCTGGCTGTGGTTGTTAAGGTAATTACTCATGGTAATTAAGCAAAAAAACATGTGACTGCAACTTGTGATGGAACACATAAGTTCCATCTTGCCAACTTCCCCACTGACATTGCTTGTTGGAAGGCAGCTGTGAAGGTAACAAATGGTGATCACACACAACTGATGACCAACCATTGTATATGTATGGCCAATTACCATGTGTCCGATGTGATCACATGCCTGTGGGGAGGCTGCAATGGCCATAACTTTGAAGACTAGCCATAAACCTTTTTCAGTGTTCTTAAAACATTCATTGAATGAGAAGTTGATAAGCTACTCATTATTTATTTAACCAATTAAATCAATATGGGCTCCCCTCCCATCAATTTTGTTTTAATTTAAAAATATTTTATCCTGATATAGAACTAAAAATACAGTTGTGGTTGTATTTGTTTACTTACATTTGGCAAAGTCCATTCTGATCGTGTTCCATCTGCATTGTAATAATACGCCCGACCTTGTTCATCTACATGTTTTACCCACTTCAGAAAAAAAGTTAATGAAATAGGGATTACTTTAAAAATCAGAATAACAAACATCTTTCATCTCTAAATATTGCCCTCTGAGTCAGCTGAAAAAAAATCTATCATTTTTGTAACAGATATTGTAGACGTATTTGTTATTTTATTAAATTTAGAAACCATCTAATTCAATTGTGACTCTGAGAATTCTATCAATCCAAACTTTTCTTCCCATGTAGCCAGATAAACAAACACATGTTTACATCTTGGTATTTCTTCCACAATATATTCATAATATAATTAATATCATGACTTTACATTCTACAATCTATTTTATTATTGTTAACAATTTATAATTTCTTGATGATAAAAGATAGGTTTGCTTTGTTTTGCCTAAAATGAGTTTAATCAAAACACTTGATATGGAATTTTTAAGAAAGTATTGAAAATATAATTATTTTATATTTGGATATCTTCTGTGTTAGCCATAAAACGTTTTCACAAAAATGAACTGACTTTAGACAAAATTAGAAACAATTGGAAGGGAAATCTACAGGAATTCCTAATTTAAGTAATATTCACTAAATATCTTACTTTCAAGAGTCAAGCAATGTCAACACAATCGAATTAAATATATCTTCATAGTACGTACAATTTTACAATGAATTTAGTTTGTAGCAACATGCAAAGCATAACCTATTACTCTTAACAAAATAGTAATCTAGCTGATTATTTTTCAGCATTTTCTTTTCAAGGACTGCATCCACAAAGAAATACCAAATACATATATATATAAGAAATATAACCCTGTTTATAAATATAATATATAGAGAGGGCTTTGCCCTTTATTATCATCTTGATGGAGAGCATTACAATCCTTAGAAGATTCCCAATTCTTTTACTATATACAACTATAGATAGCAATGTAATCTTGCTATAAATCAGGAGAACACAGATTCCTTTTTGACTAAGCAAGCTGTTAAATCTCCTTGATCTATTTTTTGTTCAAACAAACTGAAATAACAACAACTAGACCAATTTTTTTAAAAAAAAGTTCAAGGAGACAATATAATTACTCTTATAGCTCCCCGATGGCATGTGGCTACTTGGATGAATGCAGTGAAAAACTAACTTTTCAAACATAGCACTGTTCATTCCCACTATATTTTCTGTTCTGCAATTTTACTGGAAGGAAGGGGGGGGGAATACTATCTGCCTTATTTGAGTGAGAAGATTCATGCAGGGTTTTTTTCTGTATTGGCTCCTATTTTCTGCACTCATGCTAAGGCGGAAGGAGGAAAATAGGATTAAGTCAGACCGGATAAATGGATTCAATAAAGAATCCTATTTTAAAGGGAGCACACAGGATCTCTATTCCCATGCCATATCCCCATTTTTTTACAAAGATCCTACCTCATATGCAGACTTCTAAATATCTTTATTCCGAGCTGGGTTATACATTCACTCTTTTCACTATTTCACAGGACCTCAAGGAGGACAGAGCAATTAAATATTCATATAGGTCAGTATTTCTTAACCCTGGCAGCTTTAAGACATATGGACTTCAACTCCCAGTATTCCCCAGCCAGTATAGCTTGCTGGGGAATTCTAGGAGTTGAAGTCCATGTGTCTTAAATTTGTCAAAGTTGAGAAATACCGATATAGGTAATTTATTCTCTTTGCTGCTTAACGACATCAGCACATATTGCGGGTTCAATTAGCAAAAGAAAGCTCAGGACCACATTGATTAGAAACATGCAGAAGACGCCTTCATTTTGCAATGACAGATAATGGCTGAAATGATGATGACTGCTTAATTGTTTTGCACCAAGGCAATCCAGAAAATATCTATTTTCAAAGCTGATCTCTTATCAATCCTGGAAAATTTTTAGAAACTGTTCTGCTGTTTAAATTTAAATATAGTTTTTTATATATGTAAATATGCCGATAGGTACTCGGGGGTTCCATCTCACAAAGTACCTATTTCAAAGCCATTTTAGAGTTACTCTTAAATAAAAATGCTCCTGTAGTATAATCAGATAAAATGTAATTGTTGAGAATGAGACCTATTCATAGTTCGGAGATGAAAATACCACTAGAGTAATGAAAACTTTGCAGGAAACACAAAGCTAAGAATATATCCTTAGGTCTTGTTTCTGACATTAGGTGGATATACAGATAGTCCTTAATTTACAACTGTTTGTTTAATGATCACTTGGAGTTACAATGGGACTAAAAAAAATAACTTACAACCATGATCAAAATTTTGGTACTTGGCAATCAGCATGTATCTATGACAATTGCAGCATCCCTGGGGAGTCATATGATCGCCATATGCAACTTTTCCAACTGGTTTCTGACAAGCAAAGTCAATGTGGGAAACCTGGATTCATTGAATGAATGTGTGTTTCTCTTAGCAACTGTGACAAAAAAAGATTGCAAAACTAGGTGCAACTCACTTAACAACTGCCTTACTTAACAACAGAAATTCCTTTCCCAATTATGGTCAAAAGTCAAAGACTATCTGTACATCAGCAGTTATAAAACTTTTATTTTCAACACAAGCAGAAGCTAAACCTAGAATAGTCTTTAAAAGCAGTTTGTTAAACATAGAAAGGGTAAAAGCAGACAAAAATTCATAAGAAATAGGACACTGGCATAATCAAAACTTTACTGATAGTTATAAGAAATCATACCTATTGGAATTAATATTGACTAAATTGGCAAATATGTGATAAAGAACTGTGTACCTTTTCGTTGGTGAGGTCACTGGTATATTGTGTTTGGCCATGTTCATCCATCTCCTCAGACCAGCCTTTGGGAGGAGAATCATACTGACTATCTGTTTGGCTGTTACAAGGACTGGGAGAGTCTTCTTGGGTTGAAAGTGTCTACAACAAATGGTCATACACAGAAATATTGAGAACTGACATTAGTTTAAACTCTATAAAAGACTGTAAACTGTAACACTAAAACTTTGAACAAAGAATGCATTCTAACATGAAACAGCTGAAACTTAAATAGCAACACAGTTTAATCTGATTACTTATGGATCAATTGCTTTTGTAAAAGATGAAAGTCCTGTTCTTTTTTGTGTGTGTGTGAAAGTTAACTTAGTTTAGAAACAACATTTACAAAGACTGTGACCTAATCTGTACAATTAGCTCCACTAACAAAAATGTGAGCTAAAGCAACACTTCAAACCATCTGGGATTTGCATAATTCTTAATTCTACTGCTCTTCTGATCTTTCTATCAATTTCCTTCGGTAAACATTATCCACAAATTATTTTAATTTTTTTGTTTCTCCTTACAGATGGGTTTTTAAATCTAGAAGTCTGATTTCTACATTTTATTATGTTTCTAACAAAATTTTAAAATTGTTCTTTTCTTTCCTTCTCCTGATATATTCAATCCATAGCTCAATTCTCGGCGGCAGTGGCCTTCCAGAAAGGCCTCTGACTGCGAAATGCAGGCCTAGGGACGCCGCAGAAGAAGTGGGCTGGTGAGGAGAGGCCTGGATGCAAGGTAACTGGGTACAGGGCACATGGGGCAGCTCTACATCCCCGCCCTAGCTTGATTTTTAGGTGTGTGCCTCACCCCAAAATGAGGGCTTATTTTGGGGGATAGGGCTTATATTAAGCCCACCTCTAAAAATCAAACTAAGGCTTATTTTGGGGGATAGGTCTTACTTTCAGGAAAACATGGTACTTATAATTGCTTATGTACTTATTAGGTTGGAAAAATAAGGTCTGTTCATGGTAACCTATAATTTAAATATATGAATTTCATTTGCCATCATTCTTCAAGCAAAGGCCCAGAGCCACAAAAATTAATATTAGTACTAATAAGTAATTAGTACTACTACTACTACTACTACTACTACTACTACTAAGAAACCAAAATATACAAGGAGTATTAGTATTAACAATACCAGTAACCTTAGAGTTATGTCTCCTGTACTGTAGACAGTGGTACGTTCATATTCCTACAGTTTTCAAAGCAATTCTTAAGGTTGAATCTGGTGATTTAATGCTGAAATAAGAACACTAACACTTTCAGCACATTGTAACTTTCACAGCAACATTCTCAAGGATCACACCATTGAATTTCTCAAATTAGAATTATTCATTATGCTAAACTTAACTTAATAACCCACCATTTCTGTTGAGTTAGGATAATTATTCTCCTACTCCAATTCATGTTGAATATATCTTATTAAAATTTTATTAATCTACTTCGCTGCTTAGCATTTTTAGGAGCACAGGATGTATTATTATTTATTTAAAAGGTTTTAAACTGAGTGGAAGCCACATGCTTAGCATGCAGAAACTGCCAGGGATACTCCTTCTTGCACAAGCATAAAGCTGGACAACCTCCTGCCTGAAACCATACTAGTAAGGTTTCATATTATTATTCCACATTAATATGGAAAGTACAGTGACAGGCAGATCAAGGTAGCACTTTTGCAAGTGTGGCTCATGACGCCCTAGAAGGCTGCAAGAGACTGAAGGCAGAAGGAAACTGCATGGCAAAAACATCAAAACATAAGTCACAACACTACAATACAAACTCTGCCCCCTTCACACATTTCACAAGTCATAATGTCGTGTGTGTGTGTGTGTGTGTGTGTGTGTGTGTGTGTGTGTGAGAGAGAGAGAGAGAGAGAGAGAGAGAGAGAGAGAGAGAGAGAGAGAGAGAGAGAGAGATGGAATTTGTGTAGAGACATCACAACACTTTTGTTGTTTGAGAAAACTTTAGCTTACTGTAGGTACCCATAGACGAAGAGTCATCTTATTTTCAGGTTCTTTCTAAGCAGGCCTAGCAGTTACTTGAAAAAGTATGCAGAACACAATACAACCTAACAATTGAAAAGCCTTATATGGAACCTGGATGACTTTTTTTGTTTGCTTTTCTTGATACTGTGCTTTTGACTTTCAAAATAGGAATAATCAGGCCTAGGGAGCACAGGTTTTCTAGGCAAAGCTTTGACCATTTCATCTGACTCTGCAGAGGGAATTACTGCAGAGTAATAGCAAACAATCTTGCCTTTTGTCTTGAATGTTTATACTGCATCTAAGAAAGATAGCAAAAACTGAAAGCCTCGAATAGATGATAGCAATAATTTTCAATGTTCAATATAAAGTATAAATTGTGGTGGTCAACAGTTAGAATTATAAGCAAAAAGAGGAGAATGTGTTGCTAGAAAATTCTCCCATAATGTTTTTATTTTATTTAATTATTGCTTGATGTTTTATTCTACTTTACTATGAACTGTAGATTTTTTTCCATCATTGTCATAGCACTGATAATATTATCTAGTTTGAATAATGAAACATCTGCAAGAAAGCAACCAAACTCAAAGAACATCAAGGATCCCCCATTTTAACCTTGAGCTACAAATATTTTCCTTCCTATATTTTTATGATATATGAATTTTTAATATTTTAAAAACTTTTTTTAAAAAAGAAACATAATAGTAAACGGGCGTGATCCAAAAATATGATAGGTTCTCTGTTTCAAGACATGCATGCAAGATCTATCTGCAGGTCATTGTATTTGTACTACCCTCAGACAACTAAAGTAAAAAAAAAGTCCTATTAAGCAGTTAAGCAACAAACATATATGAATGTTTCGTTCATTATTATCCCCAACTTACCTCTTGATCCACTTGGTTAGAACAGTCTGCTTTAGTTATGCTTGGATCCCGAGTCCAACGTGGGGGTTTCCAGGTTCTCTCCTGTGTTCCTTTGTTGTAATAGTAGTAGCGTCCTGTAATATCCTTATGGGTCTCCCACTCCCCACTAATTTGGACTGGAGGACTTATAGGTACAGGCGGTAGTGCAGATTGCGAAATTTTCAGTTCTTGTAAGTTAGCATAAACAGGTGAATCTGGTCTTCCTTGGCTTGGGGGTGTTACTGGCTACAATAAAATAAATTGTGTGCAGTTTTAAAGACTACCTTTTGGGAAATAAATGCAGACATAAACATTTGGCATATATGGTACGTGCAAGTGAATCACTTAATGCTTTTAGTAAAGAAACGTAATTCAGAAATGCAGCAATCTAGAGTATTAGAAACAAGTAACGTTCCTTAAATCTACTGGAAAAAAAATAGAGGCCATCATGGATCAGGAAATTCTGAGAGCTGATCCATGTTATAGTTGCTTTACAGAAACACTGCTGTAAATTCTAAAGCATGCCAGAAATCTCATTGTATTTGAGAACAGAACAGAAATCTGCTTTGTAGGGTGTTGTGGGGTACTCTGAAAATCCGTATGGGAAAATAATTCTATTTTAATTAGTCTTCTTGTGTTTAAGCTTTACCTATCAGTAGGAACACTGAATAACAAAATAATGGAGGTCTTCTAGTCCAGTGTTTTTCATCCCGTGATATGCGTACTACTGTTGTATGCATACAATAAGTTGAAAAGCACTGTAAAATAAAGTATTAAAAAAATGTAAAAGTGTAGTGGAGGATGAGCTGAAGCGGCGGCACCACACAGGCCTGTGGGAGAATTAGCTGGAGCTGCAGTGTTGCCGGAGCTCTGCTGAGCACCCAGGATTGGCGTGGGGTACCAGCTGATTTGTGCGCAGCTCTAGCTGATAGGCGCTTCCGGGAGCAGTACGCAGCCTGGGGAAGAGGAGTCATCTGGAGTTGCACTAAAAAGAAAAGGAGGAGGGAGAGAGAGAGGAGAGGAGAGGATATAAAAGGAGGAGGTTTTGGTGGGAGAGGGAGAAGAAAAAAAGAGAAAGAGAAGGGGGTGGAGAAAGAGATGAAGCAAGGCGCAGCATGGGGGAGAGGAGTCAGAGTTGCACTAAAGAGAAAAGGGGCGTTGTCTTACCTGAATGCCTTTTCTCAGCACAGAGATGGAGAATCCACCAATGGGTTTAGACTGTATTCCTGCTCAATCAGATCAAGTCAGCCAAAGTTGCCACGCCCGTCCTGGACCATAGAGATCCCAGTCTTGACAGCAAGACATTGTGGCTCACAAAAAAATTAACTAACTAATCCTAGGTCTGAGAACCTACAAGGGAGGGAGTGGATTCTCCATCTCCGTGCTGAGAAAAGGCGTTCAGGTAAGACAACGCCCCTTCTCCAGCACTGGAGATGGAGAATCCACCAATGGGACATACCAAAGTCTACTGTCCCTGAGGGTGGGTAGTAGACTGGTCCGGTGTGGCACTTTGATGTAAAACTTGTTGGAGAACTCTCCTACTGAAAGAAGCCTCAGCCGAGGCAAACCGATCAATTTTGTAGTATTGTATAAATGGAGATGGCGAGGTCCATGTAGCCGCCCTGTAGACGTCCTCAATAGACGCCTGGATGGCCCATGCCACAGAAGTGGCCGCACTCTGTGTAGAGTGGGCCTTGACCCCTCATGGAGCTGGCAATGACTCAGCTTGATATGCCTCCACAATGCACTCCCTGATCCACCTGCCAATCATGGAAGAGGAAACCTTCCGCCCCCTGGAGGAAGAATGGAAGGATACAAAGAGGGCTTCCGATTTGCAGAATGTCGCTGTCCGCGAAATATAGTACCTAAGTGCCCTGTGGACATCCAGGCAATGCCACTGCCGTTCCAGTGCATGGGATGGGTTGGGGCAGAAATCCGGCAGCCCTATTTCCTGGGACCTATGGAACAGAGAGTTAACCTTTGGGATGAAAGTGGGGTCGAGTTGAAGGACCACCCTATCCTGGTGAAAAATGCACAGATCATCCCTTGTAGAAAGTGCTGCCAATTCTGAAATACGGCGTGCCGACGTGATTGCCACCAGGAATGCCACCTTGTGGGACAGGTAGTGGATGTCGCACGTCCTCAGGGGCTCAAAGGGAAGCTTGGTAAGAGCCCTAAGGACCCGTGGCAGTTCCCATGAAGGGTACCTGTGTACCGTAGGAGGCCTGGAATTAGAAGCCCCTTTAAGAAAGGAGCAAATTAAGGGATGATGTCCCAAAGACCCCACAGAGTCACAGGTGAGGACCGTGGAAAGAGCAGCAACCTGTCTGCACAGCATGTTTGTGGCCAGGCCCTTCTCTAGGCCCTGTAACAGATAGTCCAGAATATGCAGAACCATGAGTTCCGAGAGTGATAAGTGACGGCCAGAGCACCATGACTGGAAATTCTTCCACGTGGCCTTGTATATCCGGTTTGTGGAAGAACGACGGGAGGCCTGGATGACAGTAATGACCCCTGGCGAGCAGAGCTCCTGCGTTAAGAGCGAACGCTCAAGTGCCAGACAGCTAACTGGAGCCATCGGGGATCCAGATGAAGGATGGTCCCTTGACTGAGAGAGACCCGTTCCGGAGGAATCCGCCAAGGGTCTGCTAGGGAGAGATTCATCAGATCGGTGAACCAATGCCTCCTTGACCAATAAGGGGCCACTAGGAGTATCTCCGCTTGCTCCCGAAGAAGCTTGCAGATTACCACCGGAATAAGAGGTAGAGGAGGGAATGCATAAAGCAGACTCTGAGGCCATGGGCTCCGAAGAGCATCCGTCTGCTCCACCCCTGGAGATGGAAACCGGGAGAAGAACCGAAACAGCTGAGCGTTGTTCGGGGACGCAAAGAGATCCACAAGTGGGAGGCCGAAACGGTGACAGATCTCTCTGAAGAGTCTCGGGTGAAGGTGCCACTCCGAGTGATCCACCATGGCTCTGCTCAGAAGATCAGCTTGGGTGTTCACCTCTCCTGAAATATGATCGACCCTGATGGATGCCAGATTGTGTTCTGCCCAAGAACCCAGTAAGAACGACTCGGTCAATAAGACCCGAGATTTGGTGCCCCCTTGGTGGTTCACATAAGTCTTGGCAGCCACGTTGTCCATGAGGACCAGTACGTGATGCCCTTTCACCAGACTGTGGAAGTGACGCAGGGCTAGATGTATAGCTCTTAGTTCTAGCCAATTTATGTTGTGGAACAGGTCTGAGCGAGACCAGCCTCCCTTAGCCTACTGCGAGCGCAGGTGTGCTCCCCTGCCGAATAAACTGGCGTCTGTAGTTATCACTATCCGATCTGGTTCCCTGAAACATAACCCTCTGAGCATGGCGTTGACCGCCACCACCAGAGGGAACACAGCACCTGTGGTGGGAGACTTGTCCATCGTTGGAAGGAACTGAGGTTCTGTCTTTGAAATGGGAACATGAACCACTGTAGTTCCCTGGAGTGAAGCCTGGACCAGGGGACGATTGCTATGGCCGAGATCATTTTGCCTAACAGTTGGGAAAGACTGACCAATGTTACTAACCGCCCCCCATGTAACTTCAGAATGGAGACTCTTATACTGTTCCGGCGTTCCTGAGACAAGTACACCCGACACTCCACTTTGTCTATGATGGCCCCGAGATGCAACAGTCTGTTTGTGGGGACCATGTGACTTTTTGGAAAATTTATGGAGAACCCATGGTCTTGGAGTAGTGTTACCACCAGTTTGAGGTCCACCTTTGCGGACTGGATGGACGATGACTGGATTAATATGTCTCCAAGTAACAATGCACTCTGACTAGTATCGTTCGTAAATGAGCTGCTAGTACCGACAGGATTTTGGTAAAGACCCTGGGAGCCGAAGAGAGGCCAAATGGGAGCGCCCTGTATTGGAAGTGGCGCCCCTTGTATACAAACCTTAGAAACCGGCGGTGGGAGAGAGATGGGGATATGAAGATAGGCTTCCGTAAGATCGATAGATGTGAGGAAGTCTCCTTTTCTCACGCTTCCCAAGATGGAGCGGAGTGTTTACATTTTGAATTTGCAGTAAGCTAGATGAAAATTCAGACCTTTGAGATCTAAAATGGCTCTCCATCCCCCTGACACCTTTGGAACGACAAAGAGGATAGAATAAAATCCCCAACCTCTCTGGTCCACCGGTTCCGGTTCTATGGCCCGTATGTTTAACAGATGTTGAATGGCCTCCCTCATTAGTTTCTTTTTGGTTCGGTTTCGCGGGTAGGGGCAAGAGAGAAAACGAGCTGGAGGGTTGGAAACGAATTCTAGGAACACACCGTGACATACAGTGTTTAGTACCCACGCGTATATGGTGGTGGCCTCCCACTGCTGGACAAAGAGGGAGAGTCTGCCACCTATGGGAGGATTCACCAGAGCATCACTTGGATCGGCGGAATGGTCGGCCATTCCCGCGAAAGGACTGTTTGCCCTGAAATTGCTGTCTAGGTCTGGCTGTCTGCCTGTCAGGCTGTTTCTCCTATCTGTCCTGTCTGACTGGGAAGAAACGTGTAGGTTGTGAGTAACTATACCTAGCCCCTGCACGAAAGGGCTGTCTCTGTTGGTAATAACTGGACCGTTTGTCTGTCTTCTTAATGAGGTGATTAAGTACTTTGCGCTTATCCTTGTTTTCAGTTAAATAAGGATTTAACGCATCCCCAAACAGTTTCCCTCCGATATGGAGCGGTTGAGAGATGCCACTTAGACTTGGCATCTGCATGCCAGTGCTTCAACCACAGCATACAGCGTCCAGTTACGTTAGACGCCATAGCCCTGAAGGAAAACCTGGCAGCCTGGAGATGGCATCTGATGAGTATTCTGTGGCAGCTACCATCTTACTAAGGTCCTGATGTGTACGGATATCCTCCGCTGGAATACAGGCCTGGAGTTGCCTGAGCCAGCGGAGAGCGGACCTGTTGAAAAAGGATGCTGAAGTGGCCGCCCTAATGGCCCATGCAGCAGCCTGATGCGTCCTGCGGTAGGTGAGTTTGCACTTACAATCCTCTGCTTTGAGGGCCTCAGAGACATCCCTGGGAATGGCAGTGGGAGATACTAGGGGCCCGAATGGCTCATCCACCACAGGCACTTCTAGTGCCTCCTCCAAGTCCTTAGCCACATTATATAACCTTTTATCAGTATTGCCTGGAATAGGGAAAGAGGCGGGAGATGTCCATTGTTTCCTTATCGCATTCAAGAACATGGAGGGAC